AATAATCATATTCATGTGTTTGAATATACCTTCTTTAAAACTTCAGCTGCAATTGGAACAACGGTATTGACGGGATTCGTAATAATTGCTACCAAAGCTTTTGGACATTTAGTACTAATGCATTTGGCAATATCTCTAACAATGGAAGCATTAGTTTTAAAGAGATCATCACGAGTCATGCCAGGCTTACGAGGCACACCAGCTGGGATGACAACAACATCAGCACCTAAAAAAATATAGTATGTTTAATATAAATTTTATAAGAATTTTCGAAAAAATGTAGAAAATAAGTTAAGTAAATAATATATAATTAACTTAGTTATAAAAACTATATATACTGTGTTTTTATATGTCTAAACTTATATGCTGGGCTGTTATGACACGAATGCAACTACTATTGTGTGATGGTGCCAAGGCGTTCAAGCATTTATTTTATGGTGACTCTGCAATCTCCCCGACATAGTACCGTTCACTGCTAATAATGAAGTAGTAAGTAGTGAACTGCTTTTCGTCGGAGTTTAACTGTTAAAAAACGAATAAGAAAAAAAAAAAACTAAGCAGATTTCACAGTAATTGGTGCTATCAAGGCCCTTAATTTTTATATATTAATTTATTTTCTTATTATGAGTATTATGAATAATAATCGAAATATATAAACTACAACTGCTAAACTCAAGTGAAATTTGTACTTTGCACAAGTCAATCGCTTGTATGCACAGATAAGAGGTTATCTCACCAACATAATATTTTCATCTGAGGGATTTGTGTAATATTGCAGAACATATGATATATTATTTAATATATCAATTTATATAAACATCTTTCTTATACAAATTCACAATGCAGTTTCATATCTTATTGTTATTACATATTGTCATTTTTGAGGTATACAATTTTATAGAGATAATTTATATTTAATTGCAAACTGAAAATGAATAAATAATATGCCATAAAGTTATTATGCAATAAAATACAAATAAGATTTACTTCGCAAAACTGATAAGATTTCTTTTTAAACTCATAAATTATAAATGAAAGCATTTACTTGTGGTAGCAAAAATTATAAAACCATATGGTATGCAATAAACCGTGTTCAATTCTCTAACAAATTATTTTGAAAATAAACTATATTTGCATAGCATTACTATTTACCATCCAAAGCATCGGGCATTTGATCTGGTCCCATGAAACCGCATACAGTGCTATTAGTGTCAATGTGGGACAAGTCCGTAGCTACACCAGGTGTGTGTACGATATCGTACAGAGATAAAGTTGTAACCAGCTTATTTTGCTTCATAAGCAAAGACAGAGGCTGACCAATACCACCGGAGGCGCCGCATACTGTCACCTTGTATTTGTTCTATAAAAATTAATAATAGATATTATAAAATATTTATAACCAATATAAGTTAAAAATAGATTCGCATTAGTGCATTTTGCATAAAAACGCAAAAGTACTATTACGTAAACGTGTATGAAGAAAAAACCCCAACCCCCACAACACATACACTAAAATTTACATGAATTTTTTGTCAAATTCCGATTTTTATCTTACCGATCTCGAAGTAGAGAAATTTCTCAAAGAAATAACTGGTCTAGAAAGTTGCTTCAACATATTTCCCTCTAATTATTTAAACGTTAATATGTAAAGGAAAATTGCGTGTTTTAAAATCAGCCACCAAGAATCTATCGACCTCTCACCACTTTAGGAAGGTTAAACGAAGTGTGGACAAATTTCAAACGTCAAAATATTAAATTTTCTTATTTAGGATTGCCATAGTGAAAAAATTTAATTTATTTAAATTTAAAATTAAAAATTATAAAAATTGTGTTTATGTGATATTTATGTCATGTGGGATAAAGAAGAAGAATTACTTTTTGTTTATGTTAATAACGTCAAGCTTATAGCTCATAATTAACACATCTCAGGCTGTGGTTACATTGCATGCGAGTTTTTTCTTGCGTGTTCGTACATATGTTTTTTTAAAGTGCATCCACACCAAAGCGAACGCTTGCAAACAAACGAACTTTGGCAGGTACGATTACATACGAATATTCGTTTGACTGCAAGTGTTTGCTTTGGTGTGAATGCACCTTTATGCGAACACATCGCATGTTGCGGTACATTGCTTGCGAATTGACAGTTCTGTTTTATTTGTTTTGAAAACAAAATATATTGTGAAGATGAAATATATTTAACGGAAAATTTGTTATCAAGTTATTTATTAATTTCAAATAACAAAAGATGATTGTGGGAGCATGATTTTTATAGTTCAAGGTATAAAAATGAAATTCATTTCCTAAAAGTAGCATATGTTTTTAAATTTATTTTCATTTATAAACTTAAAATTACATGAAAATAAAACTCACTTTTCAATTTCACTATTTATATTTTCGATTTTGCACAAACGTATAAATTTTAAAATAAATATTTTGTTTAATCGAATAATCGTATTTGAAAGAGAAGACGTCGCGCGAATAGTTCTCAGAAACTGTAACTACTCACATATGATTACATACATTTGATTGGTTCGTACGAACACGCAAGACAAAATTCAGCGTAACCGCGCCTCAATTGGTAATAAATTTTAAATTAAAATTCAATGTATGGTATACACTTCGGCACTCAAACATAACCATGAGCGAAAGAAAGTGGAAAAAAAATTTATGTTAAGCATTCAATAAATTGAAATTAACTTGTTTTATGTTATATGTCATATAATAGCTGTGTTTTATTTTTAGTGAATATATATATAAATCATTTGGGCCCATGTTATGTAGAACAGGGCTGTTCAAAGCACGGTCCCCGGACCACTGCGGCTCGCGGCTAATGTTTGTTCGACTTCGCGACATGTTTTTAATCTACCACAATTATACAAATTTTCTTTTGGGGGTGCACTAATATATTTATTTTTTTAGTAATATTTTTAAAGTATTTCCACCCAAATGAAATAAATTTTTTGTGTGATAATGGATAATTAATAATAAATAAGTAATTTTGTAAAAAATGGGATGACGCAGTACAATTGAGCACACAGAAATGGTGCTAACCCATTTTGAAGACGGTCAACCTCAGCGGAATATTGCGAAATTCTTTAATTTGAGTTCCTCCACTTTGCAGAGCACCGTCAGCGCAGAGCCCAGCCATGAATGTCATTGATAATTTATTGCCAATATTGGAACAAGATATGCGGCAACTACTATTTCCAACAAAGAAAACTTAAAAAAGGCTATTTTACAAGAGTGGATGAAAATTGCCCTAGAAACAACCCAAAAACAACCTAAAAAATTGTAGGTTGAATGCCGAAGAGATTTGACAAAGTGATAAAAGCGAAAGGGTATCATACCAAGTATTGACTTTGCAATTTCTTTGTGGATGAAATAAGCTGAGGCAATAAAATAGGAGTATTTTTATAGTTTATATTCATTATTTATAAAAACAAATATTTTCGGTATGTTTCAAGTTTCTAAATTAAATAATAAATATTTTTCCTTAAAAATGCCATTTAACCATTTAAATATTTTCAATCGATGACATAGTTTTTCAGTAATAGCGTAAAGAATTTTAAAATTGGTGTTGGATGAAATAAGCTGAGAGCCACTGTATGTACACCACAGATATTTCTCACCTTCTTTATGGGGACTTGCGTTTCGTATTGGGTGATTTGGATGCTCATTATCGTCTGCGGTTTTCTAAACCACCAGCTGATCAGAGACGCCTGCAATTGACATCCCAAATTGACGGATCATTTTTTGGTGCACTTAACAAATAGTTGTCAGTTAGGGTTGCCGAATTTGCCAACAAGTCCAACTTGCTCCAGCTTTTCTGATGTCAGCCTCGCAAGTCCTATGCTCGCTGCCTCGAATTGCAATGTTGATATAGCTATATAATATAAGATATCTTTAAGGACAGACGTCTCCGAAAGCGGCTTCGGCAATATTTCTCTGTCCTCTGATTTGAATAAGAGAGAAAGAATTTAGCAAAATTATTATCTATTCTGCTGCTCCAATTGTTCCTGTAAGTACAATTTTCCTAGTGAAGGAAGAACGCCACTCCCCCGTACAGTAGAACTGTCCTAGCTCAATTGAGATCAGCATATAGCCAAGTGCTAAACAGTTACTTGTCATGGATAAACACGTCTATTTCTCTAATGTGTGCCCAAACTGCAGATCTATCCCCCATGATGTCGCTCAACTGTTCTCTTGCAGCACTGCGCACAAACATTCGTCTAATCGACCTTTGGATTCACTCCATTGAAGTTGCCATATTTCTTCATCTGGCCCCGGGTTGATTTCAATTTAAATACCACCCATCCCCAATCCACCTCTTCGCTCTTATTCTCCTCCGCTCTTACCTTCAACCATCATCGAACCACATCGTAACACATGTATTTGTCTTGTAAAACTTTTTATGTTATCTGCTTTTAGGTCCCAGCGGGGTAACACAACAACCACGCTAGGGTTGTTGGTGTTTTTTGCAATCATTTAAAATATTTTGCATATTAAAGATACTATATATTTGAGGAAAATATATTCACTCCAAAGTTTTTCCTTAAAGAACTTTAGTCAAAAGCAATTCTCTTTATATATTTATAATAATTATTATAAACACACTTTTTTATTTCACTTAGTTTTGGCTTATATTAGTGATCACTATATGGTGTGGTTTTGATGGAGATGTAAGGGATCTATTTGCGACAACGAAATAAATTTATGTTCCTTATATTTAAGCCCAGTATCATACTCTATAAGAGACTCAACTGTGTATTATTTTCGGCACTGCATTAGGTAGAAAATAAACATATATTTAATTTACGTACTAAATGGAAAGATTATTAGATCTATAAACAATAGTATCTGGATTTAAAACATAAACAAATTTGTATTTTAAAACATTAATAATTTATTTGTTCGTTAGACGTTAATATAACATAAAAAGATATTTTTTAAATTATTTTTTTTAAATATTAATAATAATAATAAGTGATAGTATCATTTTGAGAGTATTAATATATATATGAAATGTGGTGAATAATCTCGATATTTGTTACATTTTAAAATTATTTTTGATATTGCCTCATGAGTAGTTCGACTTGCAGACCAATTAAATCTTTATTCTCTTGAAATATTTCATTCGCTAATATCAGTTTCTTTTGCTCGAGTAATTTGTTTTCGCGCATATAAGTGCCTATGAGTTTCTCGCAATCACTTTCACTGATATGTTCTTCCGCGGTACGCCTTATTGGCTGCCTCTGCAGCTGTTGTTTTAGCCGTAATATTTCAGCACGTTCAGCACTTATACGCGTTTGCAATTGTGTCTTCCAAGCAATCAACTCCTGATTTTCTAATTGTAGACGCAGCAGTGTCTCGTAATCCGCGTGAGTTTTCGGTACCATTAGAAACTTGGTCTCTTCATCAATATACAAGCCGTCTGGATGTCGTTTGTCATCAATTGTTAATTCAGTGAGTGCATCATTTAAATTCTCTTCCGGTATTGCTATAGGCATACAATCAATTATCTCTTGTTGCGGTGTATTTTTGGCTTCAGTACTTTCTGCGGATTCATTTGAGTGCATTGTGCAAATCGCTTTAGTTGGTTCATCATCAGAACAGCTTAGTTTGGTTTGTTTCGTTAAAGCTATTTTTGCTTTGGCATCGGTTGTATCGCACGAAACTGGTACACTTTGTAGTTCGTCAATGGATTTTTCTTGTTTCTTTTCAAAACCACGTAATTTACGTTTCAGTTGTGTAATAATGCGTTGCACTTCCCATAGTTGCTCTTCGCGCTTTTTGGACACAAACCCAGCATTCATTTCAGCATGTATTTGTGCTAAAAGACTTTCTTGTTTACGTAGTTCAGTTTGCAGTTCATCAGGATTATCGGGTAGTTTAGGACTGGATGATGTAATGGGTGGTACATATCTAAAAATAAAACATTTTTTTTATCGAAACATAAAATTATTCACTCTTTTACTTAATAAAAAACTTAACAAGCGTAGAAAAACGTTTACTTTTACGTGATGTAGCCATGTCTGTCGACTTGCAAATCTACGTATTTTATTTTTTCACTCAAAATAATTTTTATCTACTAAATAAGATAAGAAAAGCTCAATGCTTCTGATCTCATTCATATTCAACTCATAAATATCTTAGGATAAAGCAGATGTTTACACATCTCTTATCTTTTTATATACTCACTTTATAAGATGCACATCTGCAAATAAATTCGGGCAGTGACACAATAGTGTTACTAGTAAGCGGTGCGACATTTGCAATACTGGACTTAACAGCATAGCCAGTGATTGAGCATTCATTTTATTGTGCATTTCATTTTGTATAACTGCATCAAAATGCAATAATATCCAAGATAGAAGAGTTTTGTTACAGCTTGGCAATAGATTGTGCAATTGTTGTAGCTCCTCTTGTTGTTTAGTTACTTGGGGGTGTGCAGCTACTTCTTCGAACCGCGCAATAAGATCAGTGGTTAAAATTGGCTCAGGTAACTCTCTATGGAAATAAACAAATAATTATTTCATAAATATATTGTTTTTTGTAACATTTACCTAAGATAAAGTTTAAGTAAACCGCATGCTGTAGGCATGTCCAACTCATCGGTTTCAGGTTGACGTTCTCGATTGTTGTATAAGCGTTTGAAATGCTGTAGCCGCGTTTTAACTGTTTCTACTTTATAAATTTGCTCGCACTTAAGTGCATTTTCTTGTAAATAATCGATGCAGTCACGTACGACTAACGGCAAATCAATGCCATCATGACAACGACTTCGCTCAGTAGCTAAACTAACCGACACACCAAAAACAGGTTGTGCATCGCCCAGTTCTAGTACTTCTTCAGAAGCTATACTTAGCTGTTTTGTTTTCTTATCCTTTTTATCTTTTTCCTTATCCTTCGATTTCTCTTTTTTCTCTTTTTCTTTACGCTCCTTATCTTTCTTTTTTGTTTCTTTATCTTTTTCGGTTTTATCTTTTTCTTTAGTTTTTTCGTCCTGTATTTGATCCTTATCCAATTTTTCCTTATCACGGGATTTTTCACGTTTTTCTTTACTTTTAGAGGAGGTAAATTTAAATGTTTTTGATTTCTTTGACTTAGATGGGCTCCTAAAAATATTTAGTATAATTAGCTAATTAGCACAGATTTATTTAAATATTAAATACTTACTTAGCTTCCAATTCTTCCTCTGGAGAACTTTCACCCTCTAATGCTGCATACCCACGATCCTTGCCCTTATCCTTCTTTTCTTTACGTCTGCCAATAAGTAGGTCCTTTTTACTGACCTTTTCATGGTCACCTTCACTATCTGTACAAAATACCACATTAGTATAAATTAGTTTTTATATAAAAAATATTTTATAAATAAATATATTTTACTTACAATCACTTTCTTCTTTGCTTTTTTTTGATTTACCATCGACACTTTCCGATGCATACAAACCGGGAAAATCTTTTTCCACATCAGGACTATCAAAATCCATTATACATTCTATTATTTGCACTATAAACAATTTATGTACTATTTGCTAAATAAACATTATAAATATAAACAAAGTCTTTAACAATTTAATTATTTGCTTTAACTCTCACTCACTGAATGGCAGCTGAATGGCTCTCAGTTGAAATGGTGCCAGATTGGTTAAATTTAAGTTGTAAAATACTGGTCATATTCAAATCGCTTTTTGATCTTCGCATTTTTGTTGTACGGTTATCACCCCATTAACGCGAATCTTTAGATTTGTATTAAGGCTCTTAAAATCATTTTAAACTAACTAAAAGCAGTTTAATGTTAATTTTAAATAAATTTTAATTTTTGATAAAATATTGCTTTTGAGTTATGTGGAAACACCTTGAAAGTTAAGGTAAACTCCTTAAATTTTGGAGACTTACTTCACCTAATTTGAATTTTAAAATTGATTTTATAATTAATTGTTTTAATGGCCATAATTCAAACTAAATGTTAAGACTCACATACAAATATCATTTAACTAATTACTAATGAATTTAGCTACATAATTTGATTAATCTGATCAATGTAATGAATAATATATTAGGTCTGTTCCACGAGCTATTCGTAGTAAAATTCAAGTAAAACACAAATAAAGTACAAACTGAGAGTGTAATACAAATAAAGTGCCAAATTACGCTCTTTACACCGATTTTTATGGAACGCTTATGTGTAAAGTCTGGTGAGAACACCAGTGCCGCGTAAATAAAAAATAAAAAAATTTAAAATCAAACCAAAACAACTGATTCACATTTTACACAAATTTTATTTGAAATAAAATGTAAAGTAAAGTCTGTGAGACATTTTCAAATTTCGACAGGGATGTTACCCTCTCTCAGATGTTCTCATTTACTCGAATATTTGCTGGTGAACCGCATTTGTATGTATAGTGTTATTCAAAGTTACTACAAGTAGCTCGTGAAATAGGCCTATTATTGGTGATATTTGATTTTTTTACTTTTATTAAAGTACTGATGCCATTTATGTTTGATTTTTGAATTTATCCTTTTCTCGACAAGAAGATGTAATATCATTGAAAGATTTGGCAATGTATACTACGTATTTCAATGTAACAACAATTTCACAAATAAACTGTGCTGTACCTTATTTCATAAATTTTTTTAATCGCATTGTTTGATTAATGTTTTTATTATACTACAATCTACATAATATTTAAGATTTAGTTTGAATTTTTTAAGAGATATCATGAGTGCACAATGTTGTGTATAATAATTCTGTACAACAGTTGGTGTAGTTTGTGGCAGAACTATGCGTCACACCTAAAATCAATTTTAATTGATTTTTCTGTTTTTTAAATAATATGGCAACATCCATAACAATTATGCTTTCGATAGCTGTCAGATATTTTGTTAATTACATTAATTACACTTAATTTGAAAATAGTAAACAATGCCTATTTCTTTAAGTAATGAACAAAAAGAACATCTTGCATTTTTGCGGGAAAAATCGTCGGACGATATAATCCAAATGTGTAAATCGGCTTTCGAGTACTTAACTAATGAACAGGCTAACACCAATAATCAAAGATATGAACAGTTAGCGAAGAAATACGCCTCCAATCCCACCGCGGTCAAACAGGCAATAGAATCATTAATTTCCTTACTAATTGATGCAACAAAAGCGAATGCTAGCGAGAGCGACATGAATTTTCTGCAGGATGTTGGTTTCAGCGAAGAAGCTGTAGATATTCTGTCGCAGTTTGTTACTAGTAAGCGTGGATTCATAGAAGGTTCCATTAAGTCAGCAAACATACGTGCCTACCGTCTTGTACACCTCGAGTGGCGTTTGGAGGTGCGTGTTGCTTCACGCAGTCTCCTACGTCAAAGCAATATATTTGTTACTATGAAATTCTACTTACACACTGAACCTAAAAATGAAAACAGGGACTTGTTAGAGAAAAGTAAACACAAAATACTCACTCATGCCGATGAACGTAGAAATCGTAAGGACTTACTAGTGCAAACAGATTTATCGAGTTTGGTGCACATAATACATACACTCGAGGACGCATTATTGGAATCAAAAACAAGGCGTATCAAAAACATTGTGGATGCAATTCATTAGTCATGTCTAAGTAATAAATAAAGCAGAGTAAACAAGTGGTAGCATTTAAAATTATTTTATTGGCCAAACTATATCTAATTTAAGAAATAAATGTCTAGCATTCATGTGCAATATGTGAAATTTCAATGTATTTTTATTAAACAGCGTTTGCTACTGCTTCCTTTGCAGCAGCTTTTAATAGCGTCTTTTTTTTCTGTCGATCTGCTCGTTTTTCTTCTGGTGTTTTCTTCAAACCTTTCACTCTTCTTGTCTGAATCTTGCCCACATTTTGTTTACCCAAATGTACGCGACCATGCGTATTACCAAGCTCATCGCGTGTGATATTCTTTTTCTTTGTTACTCTCATTTCCTTTGGTTGTTTTCTAGCCTGCTTGTATAGATCTTCTGATGCAATCTTGGTACGTCTTATGGAAAAATCAGCGCCTGGACCAATTTCTACTAACTCGATGCGTGGAGTTTTTTGACCGGATTTTTTTAGGAGTATTTTATAGGACCGCATTATAATTGTCATATCATCAGTACAAGTAAAACCCATTACATGCTCAATGCCTTGTAAACGTATCGCGTCAACTTTGTCCTTTTGGAATGTATCTATCAATAAATTACGAAGACGACGCAACTCCTCTGTCTGATTCCACTTTGGACCGTTAAAAACTAAACACGGTTTTACGCAGGTACCAATTTTATCTGTTTTGAAGTCTGCCATAGCACCGTAGCGCTTTATGCCTAACTCTACCATATCCAAAATCTCATTTTCAAAAATGCGCCCGAGTATTAAATTATTTGGGCGTTTTTTTGTTGTTGAACCAAATGCAAATAGGGCACAGTCGTTCTTCATTGTTAAGCTAAAGGTATGTATAAGAATAATATCGTTCGTTAAAACCAATTAATAATATGACGAATTGCTGTACTTACAATTCTAAAGATGTTGGATCATCAAAGGGATTGATATCATTGTTTCTGTTTAAAACTTTGACTAAAGGCTTTTTTAATTGTTGCATATCTTTCATGCATGTTTTAACATCGCCCCCACATTTACGACCGTCAAGGAAAAGCATATTTCTGGTGGGTTCAATTAGTTGTGGTTCCCTCGCCAACAAAACCTTTTTACCCTTGCGGGTTTTAGGTTTTCTAAAAACATAAAATATTAAATAATTATTTACACAAAATAATTTAGGAAAGTTACCTAATTCTTAAAAGAGACATTTTAGTGCGTAAATTGTAAAACAAAAAACGATTCTTCCAAATAGTTTACAAGTGTCCGGCACGCACGTGCATGTAAATAAATTTTATTCTCTCTTTAAATGTCAATTTAAATAAAATGCTATGAAGCTGTGTTTCTTATGTGCTCTCAGTACACCTTAAAAAATTTTACAATTTGAGTTTTTTAAGAATTTGTGCAGTGGATACAAAAACTTTAATTTCACATTAATAATTATCTATTACTAATTGATAAACCTATTACAATATTGATTTTTAATTTAACTATAAAACCTTGTCGAATATCGGAACCGTAGTGGTTTATTTAATATAGAATTATTAGCTACATAATAAATTATTTAAACATATTTTGTACTTGACATTAAAATCAACATTCTTAAAAAGTATTTTGCAAATTAAAGAAGTAAACATTTTATAGCAAGTAAACACTTTATACGTATACATAGATTTATTGGTTATTACAATTCATTGCTTGTATTCATATTTTATATAAAACTTAGGATATTATGGTTTAATATAAATTAATTAAACTAAATTAATTATGAATACAGAAATATCTACTCACATGATTCTATGGAAATCAGCTGTATGGAACAAAAATTCCATATAACCATGATATATGGGTATGACAAACACATTTTTGATTTGTCAAGAATTCGTTCGGTCACACAAACACTGGAACTCATCTACTGGCATGATTAGAACCAATAATAATTTTTAAGTGACTATAATCTTGTGACATCCGATGTCAAATTTTCTGAATAATGTAATTAATTAACATGTGCCTTCATTTTGCTTACTTTAATTGCTATTTAACTATTTTGTTACTAATTTTCTTTCTATTACTATATATTAATTTTTAATTAAGGAGTAACATATGGTATAAAACAATGTAAAAAACATAATAATATAAGCACTACTGTATATATATAAGGTAATTGTAAAACTTTAGTTTTCAGTGTGAGGAATTTTCTGGAATTACTCAATAAACATAGTTCCAAAATATGAATACTATCTAACCCGCTCACTCATACTGAATGCTTATCATGTAAACATTTATTTTCCATCTCAAATGCTGTAATTTTGACATTCATTACGGTGCAGTGGTACGTTTCATAACCTCAATAACTCACGTCATTCTCTCATATCTTTTGTCAGCAGCCGCGGTACAACGCATAGCACGAGTTCTATTATTTTCGTTAAAAGAGTTTAATTAAAATTGTTTTAAAATGTTTGGTGGAGCTCAGCCTATACTTGTTTTAAGTAAATATAAATATTTACGTTTTAGAAAAACTATTGTATGTAATTATTTGTCTAATAGGTCAAAACACAAAAAGAGAATCCGGTCGCAAGGTGCAGCTGGAGAATATTAACGCCGGAAAGGTAAGTGTGTAAGGGTGAGTGTGACTCATTCGGCATGCGTTTCTATACAACTGTATTTGTTCATATGAATGTTTTATTTCTTTTAATTAAAAATATAGGCTATTGCTGATGTTATACGCACTTGTCTAGGTCCACAGGCTATGTTAAAAATGCTTATGGACCCGATGGGTGGTATTGTAATGACAAATGATGGCAATGCTATTCTACGTGAAATCACAGTTCAACATCCTGCAGCAAAGAGTATGATTGAAATTGCACGAACTCAGGATGAAGAAGTTGGTGATGGCACTACATCTGTTATTGTATTAGCTGGCGAAATGTTAGCAGCTGCAGAGCAGTTTCTTCAGCAACAAATTCATCCTACAGTTATCATACGTGCATATCGTGAGGCATTGGAAGACATTATAAACCACTTGCAAAGTGATTTGAGCATACCATTAGATGCTAATAACAAAGACAAAGTTGTTGACGTTGTTAAGTCCTGCGTTGGTACAAAATTCATTGGGAAATGGTCTGAACTGGCTGTTAAAATTGCATTAGATGCAGTTGATACAGTCAAACTTACGGAGAATGGACGTTTAGAAGTTGATATCAAACGGTAAAATAATAATGGTCTGCAGACTTATGATGGATTATAATTTTTTAATTTTTAGTTACGCGAAAGTGGAAAAAATTCCAGGTGGTAGTATCGAGGAGTCCTGTGTATTAAAGGGTGTTATGATTAATAAGGATGTCACACACCCAAAAATGCGTCGTTACATTGAGAATCCACGTATTGTGTTGCTAGATTGCTCTTTGGAATACAAAAAAGGCGAGAGTCAAACTAATGTAGAGATCATTGGTGACCAGGACTTTACTCGTATGTTGCAAATTGAGGAAGAATTTGTGCAACGCGTATGCGCTGATATCATTGCAGTTAAGCCAGATATTGTTTTCACTGAAAAGGGCGTGTCTGACTTGGCACAACACTATTTGCTTAAAGCCGGCATAACAGCGATAAGACGTTTGCGTAAAACAGATAATCTTCGCTTAGCACGAGCATGTGGTGCAACTATTGTCAACCGCACAGAAGAATTGACTGAAAAAGATGTAGGCACTGGTGCTGGTCTGTTTGAAATTAAGAAAATTGGAGATGAGTATTTTACTTTTGTTACTAACTGCAAAGACCCTAAGGCTTGCACAATTTTGTTACGTGGTGCTTCTAAGGATATATTAAATGAAACAGAACGCAATTTACAAGACGCATTGAACGTTGCTAGGAATCTGGTTTTAGAGCCACGTTTAGTTGCTGGCGGTGGTGCTATAGAAATGGCAGTGTCACAATTACTATCTCGCAAGCAGTTGAAGGGACCATATACTGCAGTGGCACAAGCTTTGGAAATCATACCACGTACGTTAGCACAAAACTGTGGTGCTAACACAATTCGCACCTTGACAGCGTTACGTGCAAAGCACGCTTCACACTCAGGTAACTAAATTATGCTTTAAAAGCGTTGTGTTATTTTAATGTTGACAATTTTATATTCAATGTACAGGAGATAGTGTATGTGCTTGGGGCATCGATGGCGAATCTGGTGAAATTGTTGACATGAATAAAAAAGGTATATGGGAGCCATTGTCGGTTAAAATGCAAACCTACAAGACTGCAGTCGAGACAGCTATCCTCTTGCTGCGCATTGATGACATAGTTTCAGGTTCAAAGAAACGGGGTGGTAATGAACCTACAAATCCTGCAGCTGCTGCTCAAGGACACGAATAATAATAAATCATAAATCATGCCTTTTATATAAAACTAATTTAACTTAACATTTCTAATGTTTTACTAGAACAAAGCTAAATAATTTAATTACACCGTCATATTATTTTTTTTGTTTATTAACATACAAAAATTGTATTTTCTAAGTATTGCTTTAAACAATAAACATGCAACCAATTATCTCATACTAAAATATATATACGAGTTTTTGAACTATGTTTTGCTGTAAAGGCGTTCATCCATTAGCTTAAGTACTTCCAAACCGATAGAAGTAAAAGAAGGTTGCAGGTAACGTGCGAATATTTCTAAGCACTTGGGTTCATTTTGCAAATATTCTCCTAGCCAAGCGTACAATGGTGGCTTGTGCGAGTGTATAATGCTAGGCACACTAAACAACATTTCCACTTGCCTTATCGAGGTTGCAAAATCTACATCCGCTTCCTGATGGCGGGCAATAAATAACATCTCGAACGGCTGTTTTTGGCCAGCGTTGCTAATAGAACTGATTGGTTCACCATTAATATTCAATTTCAACCATTTTAAAACATGTAATAATTGTAAATTCCATTCCGGTAAAAACTCTTCTAACAACGCTGTTTGATGTTGGCTAGAATTCGTACACCAAATAGCAACAAGTGAATGTTTATGTATTAATTGACTAATAGGTAAATTGCGCAATTCTTCATTAGAAAGCATTTGGTAGGATAATTCTTGTCGTACTCGTTTCAGACGTCGTATGTATTTGTTTCGCCAGGGTGGATCTATCACAATCAAGTCAAATTGACATAGCTCCGGCAAGAGTCGCTGCAATTCATTTACATTGTAGTTAAAAAAACGACTTTTTGAGGGTATTAAATATGTTCTCCTGTTAAGAGCATAACTTTGGAATATACCTGTATTGTTTTCACCATGAAATTTAGGAAAGTTCATAGCTTCATCCCAATAATGTGGGAGTTCACACTCTGAAGAAAATGTAGGGAATGTTATTGCTGTTTTTAGTTTTGCGAGAAATTGTTTGCAATCTTGATCCAGGGCAGACATTTCGTTTGTCAAACAAATACATTTTGTTCGCTTTAATTTATTATTCTCTTTAACGTCTGGTTTTGTTGCCAAGTTGTCGTTGGTACCTTCTTCTGTATGTTTAGGTTTTTTATCAGAAAAATTGAATAACTCATGCTTAAGTTTGTAGTCAACGTATGAGTCTTCAATTAGTGTTTCGTGATTAAGATAGATCAATTCCTTTTTATCGTTAAAAACCTTAATCATTCCATAAATATTATATTCGGTACTCGTATTTCAAACTTCATAAAAATAGCGCAGCAGCGTCGCCGGTGATGCAGGTTAGTGTTGTTAAGAATATGGGTACTTAGGTATTTGGTTTTAATAAAACTGACAAGTACTCGAGTTTTATATTGCCAAAATTAACGAGAATAATATATATGTATATGTTAAAGTTAATTTTAGGCTTTTTCTAAATTATGGAAATAATTATTTACAAAATAAGGACTTTATATAGTTTCACATAAACGGAAGTATCTTGAATAAAAGATATAAACCTTGATAAGGTAAGTAATGAAATTAAGCTTTAAGATATATATTGTGAATCCATTAAGGGATTATAATTGATTTCCAGGGTGCTGTATAAGATCCCCTAACTTTTTCTAATTTTTTTTTTTTGAAACACAATACGTACAATAATATCAATACATGTTTCATTTGGCTACGACTAGATCAAGTGCATAGAACTATAAAGCAGTTTTGTTATATTTACAATACGTTTTACAATTGTCAAGTTGTCAAAGACTTATTTTGGGCGCTCGGAAAAACTAATTTTTAACAATTGTGTTAATTTAAGTCAGTGAATAAAGTAATTAAAAGCAATGTATTTGGTTTACCGGAACGATAAAGTTTGGAGAGATTTATAGTAATTTCTTCCTCACTTTTGTGATTTTTTCTTCTGGTAAGTGTTTTGAGAAGTTAGCACTTTAGGTTTTTTTTGGTCTTTATCTCAGAACGGCTAAGTTAAAAAGATTTGTAGACATTTATTTTCTAATATTTATAAATCTTCACCATTGAATTTGTAGACCTTTTTTTTGTATAAATTAATGCAATAAAAATATCATCTAAGAACATCGAAATTGAGTTTTGAGGATTTGTTATTTTCTTGATACTGTGTCCCTAGTTTGCGTTAGATAAATTAAAAAAGGTTCTAAAGTCAATGTGTTTTTGAAGAAAATATTACTTTTTTTGAGGATAAAATCGTAAAAATGGAAAAATGTACACGTTCAGCTTGCTTAGAAGGCAATAATACCATACGACGTGCTCTTTTCCTGCTCTACTCATATCATCATATCAGAGTTAAAACTTTTGAAGAGAGTGTTATTAGAAGTCCATATTCCAGCTGAATACTTGATCGAAGACTTTTCTGGTTTATGAAGTGCGTTAGTTAAACGATCATAAATTCATTTTTGAATCATTTTTGATATAATTTAAGTCATAATATAAGAAGAAGAAACGAACATTCAAAAAATATTTCATATATAAATAATATAAGTAAATATTGAAGTAAGTTTTAGTGTTGCTGAAAAAGCTACGCTTTCTTTATATGACGACAAAGAAGCTAAAGAAGCAAACATTTAGAGGGTTTTCGAATAGCAAATAAATTAGAACGAGCTTTTAAACTACAGCTTTATTTGGAAACACAAGTTTAACGAATTGAAAGTTGACTTTTGGAGTTTGCCTATTTTTTTATTTTCAAAGCTATTCTTTTTGTAGAGACATTGTTATGCATATTGTTTACTTACTATATGTAAAGCGCCCATCCTGGTACTTTTTACAAAGAAGCTATCCTATGTTATTCTACAAATTCGCTTTCGAGAATTTAAAAAGTAAAAATTTTAATTTCATTTGTAATAAAATTTTTAATTTTATAGTGTATCTCATCTCTCCATATTTTAATATACAAAAATTTGGCAAGACAATTTCGATTCCTGGTACTTGCAGTCTCAAAAAATTATTTACTAATAATTAAATATAAGAAATAATTTTCAAGATCACTGATGATGGGTATAATATAAAAGAATTTTTGTTGCTGTAGTTCACTACTGTTCGAAAAAACCTCTTTATGAAGTATACTTGTTTCTATTAAATATAATAGTCACTTCCTTCTGAAAAATTTGACGTTAAATCACAACTTATATTCACAAAATATTGGTCTCGCCCGTGGGACTCGTGGAGTATCATTAGCATGACTTTCCTAGTATAAGCATGATGTTCCTAGATTAGGTTCTATACACAAGAAAGAATAATATAAAACCATGCAACAAATAATGCCACCACAAACAGAATAGTATGGAAATTTATAAATAAAAATTAAAAATATAATTAATTCAATTATTCTACAGCTGGTTTATGATTTAGTTCTAATATAAACACAGCAAGTGAATTTGTTAATAAAAGATTCAAAAATTTTATTTAACAGTTGGCAACATTATTTATGTCCTCCACTGTAAGATCGCGAAGATCTTTCGACTTCTAATCTGTGGATCGTTCGAATACAAACCAACCTATAAAGTAAGTTTGATAAAATGAAACTTCTAATTTATAAGAAAAATATTATGAAAGTAAAAGTAATTCTTGTGCCATTGGAATACTTCACGAGTAATTCAACACCGTGAAAGTTCCTTAATGAGCAACTCAGAAGTAACAGAAAACTATTTATAAAACACTAATTAACACACAAAATATTTCAGTTAAAAGTAAATAAATAAATTTATCACAAAAAAAAAAAAAAAAAAAAAAAAATAAATAAAAATGCGGCTTTTGTCTGTCTTCCATACTTATAAATATTTTCCGAAATATACAAGTAAGTATTTAATGTGCACTGTATATAATATAAAAATATATATATTTATAAGAAAATATACAATATATATAATATATAACAAAAAATATAGGCTAACAAATATGTAAATAATTTAAAATTTGCTTAAAGCTGGAAACTATTTCATAAGTGTAATTTAAGGCTAAAATGACCAGCGGATTTGTCTGAGCTTGTCGTAAATGCTAAAGTAAAGTGCAGTTGTGAAACTTGATTTCAGTAGCGTAGGTGCTACACCCTTATAGAGACCACGTACCCCTTCCTGTTTAATAGTTTGACTCAAACAACTATACACACCGGTGCATTGTATGTTTTGCCCAAATGTCTGACGATTCGATTCAAAACCCTGTATCTGTAAACGTTTTTTTATTAAATCAAACGGATAGACTATAGTTTTCGACAACATCCCCGACGAAGCACCCATAATAAGCAGCGTCCAGGTTGGTAATTTGCTAGCAAAGAGAATAATAGTATTAAATAAAATATATAGTAAGTGTATGGTAGTCTTTCTAAACTCACCTGCGATCGTCTACATTGAAAAAATTAGTTGCCGATTGACTGAACAAGCGGTAGAACATAAAATTAGTGCCCATCAGTGGGGTTATCTGCAGTAAGGCTGATGATAAACCACGATACATGCCAGTGACCCCTTCATTGCGTATAATAGCTGTGACGGCGCGAGTGCCATTGCGATATCCTTTGCTGGTATCCTGCGCTATTAGACGTGTACGTATCACATCTAAGGGTGTCGTTATAATGACTGCAGCACCGCCTGCTATGGCACCGCAGAAAAAGTTTGATAAATTCGGTCGATCTTTAAAGAATACAGTTTGCTTGGCAAACAAACTCAACTGTTCATAGCTCCAAAATTGAGTTATGCCATACACAACACTTAGTACTTGTGCTGGATTATGACCTTTCCAGAAGGCAAACAGACCTTCCTCACGGAATATTGTACGCACAGCCTGTGTGAGCGAGGTATACTTTGATTTATCACCAGCTTTGCTGCTCAGTGGTTCCACTTGCAATTGAAAGCGTATCTTCAAGACATCCAATGGTTGAGTTGTTGAGCGTGTTATGGCCGCTGCCAAGCCACCAGAAAACATTTGTTGCAGTTGTTCTTGTGTGCTATGTGTGCGTCTTTTGGTGGGCGATTTCGGTAACTCTTGTGTGGGTATCGACGTGGTAACGCTACCCGTTTGCGTTTGCACTGCACTCGTTGTTGTGATTTGAGGGGTCATGTTTATTAGAGTGTTTTATTCCTTGTTGTATCGGTGTTGGATAGATGTCTAGGATAGATGTATCGTTTTGTTTATACTGGTGTCGGCGATGATGGCATGTAGTATGAAAAGCCAAACAAATCTGCTTCGTAATTTTCACTTTTTACAATGGAATTTCTGTAAATAGACAATAAATCAAAATAGCAAGATAGTAAAATTTAGACATTTCTTTGTTGTTGGCATAAAACATAAAAAGCAAACAAAGCCAGCGCAAATAAATGAAATTTAAAGAGCAGACAAACAAACAACGAATTTCGTATTTGAGTGGCATTTAAATGGTGGCCACAATATCAAAGCTCAAGCCAGTGCGTTACTTCAGTGATTTCTTTTGTTGGCGCTGCTGCAGTCGTTGGGCTGGTGTTGCGCACTCGTACTACTCGTACTACTCGTGCGTACAACTGTAGAAGTTGGCCAATACAAATTGATTTCAATATATTTGTGAAGTAGTTTGTTGACTTAGTCGTAAGCCCTGCGCAGCTTCACGGTTGTGATTCAAAAAATCTTTCCTGTAATTTTATGTTGAAATTTCGAGCGCTGCACAGTTGGCGTTTTTGAAATGTTCAGGCACAAATATCTACCAACCCATAAAATTATTATTTACTTAAGCTTCTACTAGCCACGCTAGAGTTTTTAAAATTAGTTTTTACGAGTAATTTAAAACACAGTTTTTCGTTACTCAAAGGCAAGCATTTACTGCCTCAGCTTATAAATAATTTGAGAGATAATAACTGACTATTAGAAGAGCTTTTAATAACAATTAAATACAAGTTCTTCAAGAACTTGCTATTGTTTACTGTCATCACAAGTAGCTTAAATATAGGCCTTGAGTTGAAATTCCACCTTGAATCACAAAGCGATAAATCCATAACTACAAAATATAGCAGGGAAAATATGCGTAGTTCCTCACAGGGTGGATTTAGCATGATTCTTAGGGTATCACCGTTTCTCTCAGAAGTAGTCAGTCATGTGAGTCGTCTACATAAGTTGTGACATACAGATCTTTATACAGATACAGATTGATCTTTACCGTGATTCAGAATTTTACTACTATTAATTGTGCCAAAAATTAACGCTCATTTTTTACTGTGAGCTTAATTTTTCGGGATGAAATTTATGGGAAATTTTGCGATCCAAAATTCTACTTTATTTTTTTTAGTAAATTACAGAAGTATTTCTGACTCGACTTATGTCAGTTAATCATTTTAGTCTGAATGTATTTTTTTTATCTGCTACTATGATTATGCGGTCATTTAAAATAATGTTTTTGTTTATAATTTTAGGTAAAAATATTTTTGCAATAGACAATTTCTCTCAAATAGATTCTTTATATTAGGAAAAATGATATTTGTGCAAAATCTCTATCTGCACTTTGTATCTCTATATACTTGATTTCAACACTATTTTCAACAACTAGACAAATATATTTTGGATAATTTAATATTAGTATTAGTATAACCTCTTATTTTACGTCGCTTTCTAAGATATTCTAATATCTAATATATACTAGATATATTATAAGCTATATGTAGTAGTATTTAGTAGTAGTAGTATTTAGTATTTTCTTTATTAATAATTTAATAACTTACGATAATTATCCATACTTTATACATTATTTTCTTAAAGCTATGATCTAATGTCGTCAGCTAAACATAACGATTGCCTACTCTTTTTATGCCTCTAATCTTGTAGCGAGTTTTATATTATAATTAGTACTACTCTTTTTATCCCTCTAATCTTGTAGCGAGTTTGATATTATAATTAGTAACTATTGCTGTTATGCACACATAAATGCGATTAAAAGATCTCGTCCATAACTATAATCTATATGTATTAGATATTTAGATATAAGCTAATATATTAATATAATATATAAGCTAATATATATTCTAATATATTGAGTTTCTATGCCTATAATAGAATGTAGAATGTATAATGGATAAAAATATTATGATATTTAATCGTATTGTCAAAAAATAATTTGCAATTAAATTGGAATTAAATTGGAATATTTAATTCGATAAAATGATGTTTCAGAATTTTTTACTATTCTAATTTTTTGCTATTGTCAGGAGACCAGTTACGCAAAGAATGATCCAATTGCTCCATGGTCCATTTATTAGAAATTAAAAATCAAAATTAAATTTAAAAATTAAAATTTTAATTTCATTGAATTTAATAATTTATTTTACCACATAAATTATTGGACGTCATAGTCCGATATCATTGCCTTTAACGCGATGATATTGTGGCGCTCTTTTCGGTGACAATCGATGTATAAAGGACTTACAGAACCATTCTTCTTGGTTAGTATGTAAAATACGCTATACAGAGTAGTCATCTAACGAAGACTACTCTATGGCTATATAGTTGAAATAAAATGTAAATTGCTCTATCTTAGCCATTCATTTTGGCACATTTTTTGTATATCGGTGTAGAATTGTTGATAAATTCACTCCCCTTTCATCGAAATAATTACTAGTCCAAGATTTCAAAGCACTTTTTCAAATTTTTTCGCGTAAGACATTAACAGTTACGTTAACACCACAGTTGCTTAAATTCGATCATATTTTTCATATGAGAAAGGAAGATAATTAGCAATTAACCTCATCTTTGCAAGTAAAACACCTTCTTCGCACTATCTAGCCTAGTATTTCTTTGAACATCATTTGGAACTTAACCTTTTTGTAAACTTTGTAAGCCATCACATTTAATTTACTCTCGAGAATTCGTTCCATTATTGTTTTCGATATATTACGATGAGTAACAATTTGTCTTCTACTGATCTTCCATCAGCAGTGCTGCTTTTATTTTATTTGATCCTCAATTTCTGGAACCACGTTTACCGCAGATATAATTCTTTCTGCGTTCTATAACTTTGTCAGTTTCATTAAAACGTGTTTTGGGTCGAGGCATGAAAGATTATTTTACACTGAGGTATTCGAGGGTTCTAACAATAGCTATTTGTGATTTTTCGCGCAATCACATTATCACTGCAATACGGACAATAATGAAATATGCCACCAGATCGAAAGTTATAAAGTTGAAAATTGTTTGTAGTTTACTTTAGTCACCCAATAGATTATAAAATATTATCTTACGTTATTATGGGAATTTATCTGGTGTCAGTCTCAAGCACATGGTCACTTGATTTTTCGACTTATTTTAGAGTTGGAAATTGACTGAATATTCTTGGTTAATATGAATATAATGTGTTCGGCTGATAATGAGTTAAGTTTTAAACAAGTCCATTAAAGTTATAGTATTATTTTATCTATATAAATCAAACTATTGACGTAAAATTTTCCGAAAATAATTTTTCTTAATGTATTCTCAAAATAAGCTATTTCTATATATAAGAAGTAAATAAAAAATAATTCTAAATACAGACATAAAATTTTATTTCTATGTTAAATAAAATTTTGATGAGTAATTCAGTATTCGTAATATTGTATTCGTAATAAACGCAATTATTATTCTACTGTTGGGATGGGTATGTATCTCATACATATCACGAGTACAAAAATACATACTAAAGCTAACTTAAAATTAAATAAAAGTGTGAAATATTTACACAGATTCCGTTAAAATTTATGGAAATAAACAGGTAGTGGAGGGGCCATTCCCTGAGTTTAGTTTCCTTTTTCAATTAGTGTGGTCAATAACATAAATCGATTTGTTTATATTTTTTAAATCGAATCCAATATAATAAAAATAATAGAAAATTTAAATATCTTTCATAATTTTCCGTTATCAAGAAGTCTTTTTGTTAGGAATTACATACATATGTTATGTATATAATAACCTTCAGCCCTTCAGCGGACTTTAATACAAAAATAAAAATTTATTAATTAGAATTATTTTTTAAATGACGATTGAATCTTTTTTTAATAGAAATCCGTAAATAATCCTAAAGAAACCATTAAATGGTTTATTTAATCAATTAACCATACATATTTTTTGTCTAACCATACAACTGTTTCGAGTATTGCCAAATACTCATCATCAATTGTCTTTGGAAATGTTTATTTGGTTTATAGGTTTGTATATGATTGAAAGACTCAGAAGCCTAGTATTCTGATAAAATTTAAAATTTTTCACATAGAGAACTGTTATATGTAGTACGTTAAAGTAATGTTGCAAAGTTCCTTGTGTTAATTTAAGCCAGTCATCAATGGAACAAATCTGTTTCACTTCTGCTGAACTATCCTCACAATTGTGATATGATTTATTAAAGAAAACGCCTAACCTTTTTATGTAGTTATATGTACATTTATATATTTTTCACGACTGCCGTTTACAAGACAATCTAACTGTGTTTAACATTCAAGTAAAGTCGCTTATATAGCAGACGTCTGCTAATTGTCAGGTTTTTGGATGTGTCATTGAAATCAGAAGACTTTAAATCATAGTTTCCATTATGTAAGAATATAGGTTCCTAAAAGTGTCTAAAAATGTTTGATAAACTTAAAATGCTATAAAATGTATTTATATTTATGTACAGATTCCCTAATCAATTGGCATGACTGTTCGTGGGAACAAACTACTTAAGGAATCAAAGAATCTATGCAAAATAAATCGTGCAGGATGAACAAATAGAGATACAAAGTATTACGAAGTTCATTATCAAAGAAAGTCAATATTTCTTCCGTACAAATATGAGTGGTTATACCACTTTTCAACTATTTGCAACTACGAATTGAGAGTGGGTCCCTTCTTGACTTACACTCCCAATATAACTTGAAATATCTAAACCAGTGTTGCTTATGAAATCAGAGTAGGCGAATAGCGCTATTTGAATAGTACTAAACAAAACATTAAAATTTATATTAAATCTAGAACCAATGATATTTATAACAGAAATACTGAAGAAAGGTTTTATAGGAACCATGCATCACTGAACTAAACTTACAACTGATGACAAAACTCTCACTTTTTCTTTACGCATTAATCGACTGAGAAAAAATGCAACAGCAAGATCATTGAATAATGCCCTGAGATCACAAATTTGCAGAATATAATAAAGATTTGGCAAAATAAATGATACTATATACGTATATATTCTAATTTCCGTGCAGGCGCTATTCTAGAGTAAGCTGTGTTGTAAGTTAAATATTTTTAAATGTTTTTAAGAAGAGCGTAAAATGATTTTCTTCGAAAGCATAGTAATAAAGATCCTGAACTCAGCAGATTAATAGAGAGTTATTGATACAAAATTAAGTTTAGTCGTTATATGGATTGTTAGTATGTTTAGAGAAAAAACAACTTCATCTGATGTTTAGAGAAAAAAATAGTATAGTCATATTTACAACTTTATGATTAAAAGTTAAAATTTAACTATTTATTGAAGTTTGATTGCATTATATTTAAATGCTATACTACTTTAATATACATTTTTTCAAGATTTTGTCTTAATTTTTTAAAAAATTTTCCTACATATATTTAAGAATTTCATTTTAAACTTGATTTAATAATATTACGCTCAAGTTGATATTCAATTATTATGATAAACTGAAAATCCTTTTTTTTCTAAACACACAGGTAATCACGATATTTAATCGGATTAATTACACAGTATTAATAACAAAGGTTTTTTTTTAATTCTTAACATCATTTTTTGCATAAAAAAAGAAATATAAATACATAAAATATATTTATATACATTTCATATATATATAAATACATTAAATATACACATTTATATTTTATGCTGAAACCAATTAAGTATTTTTTAAATATTTTATCGAATACATTAAGTGTAAAATTTAAGTACTAATAACCACTTTAATTGTAATAAAATTAGTATTTAAATCATAAAAAATGTTTATTGTAATAAATTACAATATAGATTAAATCTTCTAATACTAAACTTTGTAAAATTTTGGAAGTACCGTCATTGTAGGACGTAGTGCAAACTGTATATTTGTTGTTATAAATTTATACTTTATGCTCGGAATAACCGACCAAAGACATGCTTTAAAAACAGTTTTACAAATTTACCAGTTTTTTTTCTTAATTATGCACTTATTGTGTATTGCAAGTTTTGTTTATGTATACATAATTTATTGTCAAATAAATTTTTATTAATGTAGAATATATTTATTTACTAACACTATTTAATTATTATAAGACTTTATTATCGAATTCAAGATTTTGTACGAAATTTGCGCAATAACACAAAATATTATAAAAATTATATATTACTTTATCAACATTAGATTAAATATTTGGTAAAAATGAAATTAAACAATAATTATGTATTCTAGATGTCACTAATTTCAAGTGCAAGTAGTGCCCATAAAAGGGTTACAGTGAGTACTGCACTAGAACTGCGTAGACGCTTCAAGATCCAAGTAAGTTTATGATAAACAAATCTACTGGTATGGGTAATTATATAGGGTAATAAATATTAATCACTATTATTCTATTATTAAATGTTATGTCGTGGTTAACGAATCCATTAATTATTATATAAAACTCATTACTAATCATATGTGTGCAGCCGTGAAAACAATTATAAATTGTTTTATGAATCTTTTTTATATACTCTTTTTTTTTTAAATTGTAAATCATAGATAAAAGTAAAAATAATGATATATAATATTAGAAAGCGATGTTAAAAAATTATTTTATAATCACCGATAAAATTATGTATTATTTCAGAACCTTTATTTAATAATGAACTATTATCACTGTTCTGTCAATTGCACTTATCAGTTATTTTCTGCCAAAGTATAGCCTCTATATGGGAGGTCTAATTGGTAATAAAGATACTTTCGTGATGTGATGAGTTGATAAGCGTTTTAAAATCTGTTTTCTTAAATAAAATTATTATGAGATGATTTTTTGAACTTTGTTTTCAAATTAACAGAAGCCCAATCGTAACAATTTTAATTTATTTTAATTTTTTTATTTTCAAAAGCTATAAACATTTCGAAAATGAATCATTACGTATTAAATAATAATAAAGTTTGTATATATAATATTATTATATAATAAAATATTAATTTTTTTTGTATAAAAAAGGCATTGTGCTTAATTCACATTTTCAAAAAAATTCACATTTTACTTTTATAGAATTAAAAATATATTATAATATATACATGACTTGAAAAGAAAAGAAAAAATAAAAAAACCTATTCAACCTATTCAGAACAAAACCCCTGTTTAATAATTCATATTTTTATAATAATATATGCATTTAGTGTGGGGTAGTTAAGAACAAAAGTTTTTGCATTAAAATTAAGGTGTTCAGATGGAGCTGATATTATTTTGTGTTATTCGCTAAATCTCCAGTTGTTTTTTTTTCCATTCATTTCAAAACCTTCACAAACAATATTAATAGATTTGAACCTTCACTTATAACTTTACCTGGAAATAATTGATCAACTGCGTTCAGACGTAAGTATTAATTTTATCGAAAAATAGATCTTAATATCACTATTGACTTTACATGGCAAATACCAAAGGCAGCTTATACCAAGGAAGATGATTTTATCTTTAGTCTATTAATATTATAAAAGTTTTTGACAGAATGCTACTTTTTTACCATTGTATTTATATAGAAGAATTTTAGAATTTTATATCAGATTATGTTATATGTTTACAACAAATTTTATGGTAATGAAATAGCTAATAAGCTTACTAAAAAGATGGCTTCCTTTTAACTTCCTTTATAAGAGTCGAAACTTGCTGTGAGATAACCACTTATTAGGTTGCATCATCACTAATATATATCAAACATACATTGTTTGTGAAGTTTTGTGAAATATAAACAACTTATGGTGAAATGCTGACAAATACTTTAGTTTAAACGAATTTGAGTTAGATAGGTCACTGTTATCTTAATAGGGTATGTTTTTATTGTAGGTTTTGTTAAATGTAGAGTTGTTCTGCTAGTGCCGTGAGATTGTATCCGCATCTTAACCTGATTTCATTAAACCAACTGAGTTTTGGATTCTTGCACTAAATGGTTTATTATATATTTCCTGAGGTTTTTTAAAAGCCTTAATTTTTTATGGACAAAAGGAATTTTCTTTAAGAATAGCACAATATTATATGTAGATTTTAAATGTTATGATGTACTATTGCCCCTTATTATAATAATAAAATGAATGAGAATGATAATAGTGGTGTGTATTTGGATATTCAAAACAAGATAAAAGGAAATCTTCCGAATTGTAAGGCTAAAACTCAAACTTTTTTAGTTATAATTATTTGAAATAAGGTTGTACTTATGAAAGGAATTTAAAGTATCAAAGAATTCTGACTTCCATAATTATAATGTATCGTTTCCAATCACACATACATATATGATTCTGGTTCCAAGAACGACCGGGTCTACGTCCCGGAGCCACTTGTCGAAGACGACCAAGCGCCATTCAACCACTCCTCAAAGAGACTTCACAAGCAGGTCCGGGCGGGTTACAACAACAACAACAACAACATTAAGAGATCTTAGATCAGTCATCGAATAATCAGTGAAACTTGTAGTGAATACAAAAATTAGTAAAAGAGAAGGGAGGGACACTGTAGAAACCCCCCAGCTAACTGACAAAGAGTAAAACTGCCCAGTTGCACTAACTCGGAAAAATCTCAACATAAGATATAAGTATTAATTAATTATAGTGTGTAATTATTAATAATTGATATTAAGTTTTTGTTTGAAATATTGTATACAAAAAATGGATTGCATTCTTTGACCTATAGACTTTTACTTCTAACATCGTATCCTAAACATATCTGCTATGGGCGCTAAAATACAGCAACTTCACACATATAAGTTTATATTATTTTACTTTTACTCACGAATTTTTTAAGAAAAATTAATAAAAAAAATATTTAATTCACTTACTTTTAATTTACAATCGTAAAGTTCCAAATGAAATTAAAATCTTTGGTTCAAACTATAAACATGTTGAGTGAGAAGAGGTTAAAAATATTTAAATTGCACTCCTTTACGCTGCACTACTAACATTTTTCGTTTAAAGTAAAATTTAAATAATTAACAATTATTTACTTTTAAGTTTTCCGTTTTTTTCGCTCTTCAGTGTCTTTTAGTTGCCACGGACGACGTGATACTTAGCAGCGCTTCAGCTGCTAAACTGCATCGAAATATTTTTTTGTGTGCAAACAAACCAAAAAGCATTGGCTTTAAACAATTTCGTGTAAACTTTCTTTTTTTCTTCATTGAGCAAATGTTTTTAATTGCCGAATTCCAAACGACTTATGCATACGCTCAGTCCACGCCGTGCTTCCACTCTCTCCGAACTGAATTGCTTCCGTTCAGCGAAACGAATTCAAAAAACGTTTTCAAATCTTCTCAGTTGCCCCGTTTTGTAACTGGTTTCTGACTTTTCGATTTTGTTTTCGTTTATTTATTTTTACTTTTCATGCACACCGCCTTTCACGCACAAGCTTTTGAAAAATCATGCGAATTGTTATAAATAAAAAAAATAAGTTACGTCTTCAAACAGAAATGGATTTCTTATCAGGTGTCCAAACAGCTGTTGTTGTTTATTGTTAAACTCTTAGTGTTGCCAGACCGTTATCTGTAAATAATATTTGAATCCTTCAAAAACATAGCAATATTCTATGTTTACTATACAATTAACGAACTCACCACATTTTTAGGTTAGGTTACTACATTTTTATATGAATTGAAAAATGGCTTTTAATGGCATGTACATTTACCGAGTTACATCAACCGAGCTGGTATCATAATTTTAAATCAATAGTAATTATTACTTTAAACTTAAGCATGATATGAACGATGCTACATCAGTGACGACTGCTCTAAGGTGCGGAGGTGTGCGGTCCACACCCTAACATAATTTGCAAATTGTCAAATTATATATATAAATTTATTAAATATCTTCACATCCAGAATTAATATTATTTATTACATTTTCATATATATATTTTATAAAACAATTGTCTATGAAAACTCAATTAATTTGCTTCTCTTTGCTACTATAGTCGTTAGTTGTGCTCATAAGTTTGCACCTCATATCGCAAAAAATTTCTATCATATTTCGCCTTTCCCCTTTAAGCAATTGCATTCATAAATTTCTGTCATAAGTGTGCACAAAAGTAATATGAGCAAAATAATGTGCGTGTGCTCTAGCTTAAAATATGAGAAATAGAGATTGAGAATTGTATGAGAGCATTTTCTGCTCTATTCGAATATCAACTGCATGTATAAGAATCCAACATGTTAACTTGTCGAAGCGGTTAGATGTGTTTGCAGCTCACATCACCATACATTTCTTTCAAATTTCGTCTCTCCAATAAAACAAAAAAAAATTATTTTTATGAAAAACTTTAGTATAAATATAATATAATTTTTCTTTCGCTTTGTTTTAATTTAAGATTACGGAATAGACCTCTTATTCCTTAGTAATAAAATTAACGTTGCACTGCTTAAAAAATATTTTCCAGTAAAACTACCTCCTCACTCTTAACAGGTAGTATATTATGAATATGGAGTTCACAAAAACAAAATCCTTACATCCTCACTGTATCTCCTTAATTAAACAAAATATGGCTCTTCAAATTGCCTTGGTACATCCGCACAAATGACATGCTAAGACACTTTAGAATAGACCCGATCAAAAATACATAAGTGATAGATCCCTGAAGATATTCGCGAAAGCTGACAGGGTGCTCTATTTAGCACTATTTAATCTCAGAATAATCTCTAGCCGTACGAGGCAGTACGTAGATCTTAGATCAGTCATTGAATTATCACGAAGCTTTTGAGGAATACATAAATTAGTCAGTGAGAAGGGTGGGACTCTGTAGATACCCCCCAACTATCAAAGAGTAAAAGTGCCCAGATGCACTAACTCGAAAACGATTTAACATGACCATGAACATTGCATATTCACCACATTAGATTAATCGTTTTCTGTTTATCGTATATTTTTCTTTTCGTTTTACAGACAGTATGTGAAATCCTAAGCCATTATGAAAGGGGGTTAATCGAAGATGAAGTGGACGATTTAAATATAGCAATAAATAGTGGTTATTATTGAACTTTCATAAAAACACATAACAATTTATAAAGCTAGAATAAAATATTTATTTTGATTTTTGCTGTCTTAAAAAAGTGATAATATCTATAAAAAGTACATATATATATATCGATTATGTCATATTTGTATATAATGTATGCAAAAATTATAGTACAAAATTAACAATTTTATTTTTAAATATTTGAGGCATATTATTGGTTAGTAGCACCTACAAAAATATTTAAATATATGTACCGTTTTAAATTTTTATGTACCGTGACTTTCAAACTGTACCCTGTGATCACACAAAAAAGATAGCAGTGCGAAAAGTTTGGAAGCCATTGAGAGAGAAATACATAAACATGCAATTTTTTTTTTATAATACATCCATATACATACATATATAAAAAGCATTTTCTTATATCAATAACATTAAAGGATCAAAGGTTTTTATTTCCAACCAACGTTACTATTGTCGTTAGATGGTGGTGCGCTTGGTGTTGGCTTGTAATCTGGTGGTATACTAAACCCAAGTACTTCAAGGGGATCTTCTTCAGATCTAGCCTTAGTTGCAACAGGAGGCACTGAAGCAGGAGCAGTGGCACGTGCTGGTGATGGTGCTGTAGTAATAGCTGGTGCTGGCACAGGCATAGGATTTGGCATTGCAACTGGTTTTGGAATTGGATTAACATGTGGTGGATGAGTTGATATTGGAGGAATGGGATAAAGATTATTGCTTTGCTGCGGATTTGTAGTACTGTGACTTCCATTTGTAAGATTGCCATCCGCTAAGAATACTGGATATCTTGGCTTATATGTATTGCTCTCGAATTGCTCACTACGCACATCTTCTTCAAAGGTTGGTGGTGCTAAAGATATATATATATTTTAAAAAATAAAATATAACACACAAAATTTTTATTAAAGCACAACTTACGCAGTGGTTTATAGACAGGTCCAGCACTGGGTTGCGCAGTTATCGGCCCTGGTTCGACTGTGCTAGCGTACAGTGGTACAGTGCCAATTGCAAGTGGGAATTCAATTACCAAATCACCTAACAATCGAAATACTTTTGCTATAAATTTAAGAGTATAGCTAACTTTAATAATAGTACAACTCTCCAGAGAGGTGGGAGTTGTAGCGGGTATCTGCAAAAATTCATTGAATTCGGCCTTATTGAGCTTAACTACCTCACCGCAGTGATTGTCGGCCACTTTAATTTCGGTCTCCTGAGTTTTTACTTCAGGTGTGCGACTGGTATACACGACTTTTTTCATTAAACGTACTTTGACATCACTACAGTTAACATCGGATTGATTGTCCAAAACGATATTAAAACGTATTTTTTGTCCAGGCGCATAAGCACTGTATGGTACGTTAACTGTCATAACCATTGGTCCTTTGGTACCACAACACAAACCCCAACAAAAAGTCTTCTCTTCAATTTTATGCAAAGGTTGCTGTAAGTAGAAGAATTCCATTTCATTATATTAAAAGAAAAAATATACTTTAATAAATGTCTTACCGAATTATTTGGATTTAGATTTAAATCATAAGGTGAAATGACTGTGTACGCTTGTTTAAAGGTATTATCATAGCGCATTGATCTATCGATGGTTAGCGTAACTTCGTGCTGTATTTGCCCAGAACTGCCATTAAAGGAAGTAGGTGCATTCGGTGGTATGGTAGCCTGAAAAGGGAATATATACTTTCCGGCCGGTAGTTCAAGTTGTGCCCCACCGCTTTGCCCGTAAACGCTATTTTCCGAACTATAGTACATTTCATGACTGGAGAAGGTCTCTGGTACAGTTTCTGGCTTACCTTCCGAATTCTGTTTTTCAACATTTTCACTCCAGCGCACTTCAGCGAAGCCACTAACGCTGATAAAAATAGCTGTGGGTGAGAAAAACATTATTTTAATTAATCTTAATTCACTAGTAAATAGTGTGTGTAAATTTCATTCACATGAATTAAAAGAGTAAGTTGGATAAATTAACAATTAATCAATTATTTGAAGAAAAGCTAAAATGGTTTGTGTTGCGGCTTCCTTTCAAATTATTTAATTGAATTATGTCACTCGAAATAGTGACATTGTGACATTCAGAAAATATGAGTCTATTCCATATATATTTGAGGTTAAGAAGTACTGTATGAAATAAAAGCCTGTTATTTGTTCAACTTGTTTAAAATTATAGGAATTGTATGGTTTGCATGGTTTTTATAATTTTAGTCCTACATATGATGACTTACTTAGATAAGTTAGTGCTCATGCGCAATGGAGGTAAATTATTCTGGCGCCTATGTGTTAATCATAACCTAGGATTATTGAAAAATTCCTTTCGTATTACATGCAAATATTTCCTCTTAACAATCATGCGATTTGCATGGTATCATAATAAAAATATTTTCTGTACATACGCTTCAAACTATATATGTACATTTAAGAGTTAACAATATTTTTATTTTAGAATATAAGGATATGAAAGTGACGGAAGGGTTAACTAATTGTGACAAATTTAAAGTGCCTAACATTTTTTTAAACTTTACTTTAACTTAAAATGTCTTTCAACTGCTCTAATAGACAGTTAATAAGTTACAGAACCACTGATTTTTGGCTGATTCATAGAAATATTAGAAAGTTTTCGGGCTTGAACCTGAGTTTATATCTACTTCATGTAATACTGATTCTTAGCTTAGTAATGGACTCATACTGAAATATATAAGTCTATATTAAGTTATCAAGTTCTAAAGTGATGTCATATTTTATATTTCGATTTCTCCCAAATACAAGGAGAAACTTTCTAAGTGTATATAACACATATATTCTCAGTAGGATTTAATAGCAATTGACATTAAACCTGAACGAAGCACGAGGAAAGGGAAATACACTCCCGACTGAGGAATATTTTAAAATTAATGTTCACAGCAATACTGGTAAGAAATAGGTTAATTAATGGACACAGCAGAACTGACCAAGTTTAGCGACAACTATAAGAGAATGAGTGAGCAGCACTTAGGACAAATCATCACTTAAGTCACCCGATTGCAGTACACATAAAACATTATATTTAATATAATAAAAATTCTTTTAAATCTTTATTGCAATATTACAATTAAATTGTTTCGATGCATTTTATATATATTTTTATATGCAATATTTTATATTGGCTAAGTTATGGCCTTTAAGCAAGAAACTATATTCCTCTTTCATTCGGACGCACTTTAAATATACTCTTATCACATAGTATATATTATTAACAAAAAAACTCATTTTTAAATGTTATAGTTTTCAGAATTGTTAAAAAGATTTGGAACAAATTTGTTCCAAATTAAATCATAGAAGAAGTCTCTCTCTCCAAATTACTTCCTCATGACTTATAAAAGCCTATGCGCGGCTTAATTATTATTTTTGAGGAATATACAATGCTTCGCTATCGTTAGCAATGCGTTTATTTTTAAAATATTCGTAAATCTTCAAACTGGTATACAATAGTGAAAAAAAAATAAAATGATTTTCAGCCGACAATTGTTTAGTCAATAGGAGAAGTTATAAAAAAAAATAGATACAAAATTTGCGGTCGACAGTTGGACACTACTTCCATTCCACACAATGAAAATATTTATAACAAAAGATTAATTTGTTTTAATTTTTAATTTTTTTTATACACATATTCATATTTATATATATGTATAAATTTCTATATGTATATATATGTATTATATAAATACTTATGTATCTATATATAATCTGTTTTTGTCGGTTTTCCATAGAAACTTCATTAACATAAAGTACGTTAAGAACAAAGAAAATTGTTAGTAATCTTTTGAACTGCAGGTGTTTTCCATGAACAACGTGTGTTTTTGTATGGGTATGTGTACCGAAAAGTAACTAGTTAGGATTAGGACATTAGGATTAGGATTTTCTTACCAATTTTTAATCTTAATATTTTAATCTGAATTACATTACGATTATTTGTCACTGACATTTGGTTTAAAATATTCACAATATTTAGGTAGAAACATTTATTACTTCATATTACAATAATTTTTATTTGGAAAAACATAGATTCTAATAAAAATGTTATATACACATAACCAATCTATTCTTATCACGGTGAATTCTGACATCTAATAATAATCATAAATGTTTATACAACTCAGAATCATTACGATTGGGCTTCAGATATGTAGTATTACTAATATCTATGAACATTTTTTATTATTTGATTTTAAATTTTTTGTTATTTTTTTTTGTTTTTGTTAAGTAAATGATAAGTGAAGTGTGCCATGAAGTCTTTTACACGATCCAAAAAGTATTTAGAAAGATTGTTGATGTTGAAACTTAAAAATGGCAGCAAGTTAAGCCTAGGGCTTGAATACAATATTACAAATGATAGCAAAGGTGAGCTGAATGTATAACTTTTAATTTTAATTTTTAATCGAGACATTAAGAAAATTTCATTTAAAAATCTGTTATTCAATCAAGAGTATTAGAATCTTAATATTGACAATATACTATATAAGGAAAATAGCGGTTGTTTTTTGTTAGTATTCCTAACATTTATATTCAGTTAACCATTGTTTTTACTTATAATTGTCTTTTTTTAACTTCAACATCATTTTCTATAATAAAATAATAAAAGTAACTTAATATTTGGTCTGTGTTAAAAATCTGATCATATTTTTATCAAATTTTTAAAATAAATTTTAATAATTATTGTATATTTTATTTTTGCTTTTGTTCATCATTTTAAGACAATTCTATTTAGTCCTTAAAAAACATTTTAGTCCATACGAGTATAAAATAAGTTAGGAATGGTGTTATAGAAATAAAATATGTGTGATAGAGGTTTAAATACTCTGGGCATATTATTCGCATGCTAATTTAATTAATTTGCTTACATCGTTAATGAAAAAGTTCAAAATTAATTCGATATCTCCAAAGGCGGATGGATGAAAGATGTATTGCTCTTGAAATGTCTAAATATATTCTTTCAAGTACTAAACTTATGTTTTTATAATTCGGATCTACTTAATATATTTGCTAATAAAAATTATTAACATTATATTATAAAATTAACAATGTTTTGCTTTAAATAACTTAACTTTATGTCCCAAGAATAAGCAATGCAAAAATTATTTAATGACAAACTAAGTTCCTTCACTCCAGTTATGCATGCAGTCGTTGGCAAACTTAGCTCAAATTTATATGCTTTTATAGCTTTAAATTTATATACACATTTATTTAACTGTACTAAAAAATGTAATAAGAAAGTAAAAAGAAAATAAATAATAAAAATAGTTTCTTTTCACTTTAAAGTGATAAATTAATATATAAATTTTGTTTAGTTTGTTTAATAAAGTCAGATGTACTAAAACATCTAAAAATGTACATAAAGATTGGGGATAAACAATTATTCAGAAACCAATAGATCTAGGCGTGGTTTAGAACCAGCCTGACATAGCTAACTTTTACAGTGTTTGAACAGTAGTGAGCTACAACAACAAAATTCATTTTATATTATTTTAATTAATTGAATTTCTGGTTGACCATATAGCTGTTTCGAGTATTGTCAAATACACATCAATAGTGGTCTTGGATATAATTCTTGTATTTAATTGTTCGTAAATAATTTTTTGAGACTACAAGTACCAGGAATCGATTGCTACTAAATTGCTACTAAACAATATAATTACAAATGCTTTTTTCACTCACAGAAAATTAACATTATAACTAATATTTTTTCGTGGCATTCAGCGGCAATAAAAGAAAAAACTAGTTTCATTGAGCCACGCTGCTCTTGTCTGCTTCCATTCTGCAGGCACAATGAGATTTACAAAAAAAAAAAAAAAGAAAAACAAAATATGTAAATTTGAATGTTCTATAATTATTTTTATATGCTCAATTGTAATTATTTAATTTAAATAAAAGTAGTTCCGTAACTATCTTTATATGCCAATTCAAAGATATGACAATTGGATTTCGGCATAAAAAAAATAAAAAAATTATTTCCATACAAAATAACCATAAAGCATTTTTATGTCAGTTTTTTTTTGTTAGTGTTTTCTCTAAGGATAGTAGCATAAATCAAAAATGACGTCACCTGTGGCTAAGCAGTGAAGTTTGTTAATTAGCTTAAGCGGAAATATATGTAAAATAAATACATATGTATATGTATGTATATAATGTAATTTTTATTTAAATAATTATACGCACATCGTATTGTCTTTGGCCTTGTTGTGACGAGCTCAGCTGTTCCAGTCACTACTTGGCCAGCGTAGTAAACTCCTAAAGGATTATTCTCAAACGCAATTGTACATTTGCTGGCCATTTTTCTCTATTGGTAATTTGTTTTCTTTTTGTTGTTGTCAATATTTGAAATTTATGACGAAACTTTATAGCTTTAACTTATAAATAATTTACACACTTTTTATGCATTAAGCATACAAATCAATTCTTAGTTTGTTTTCTTTTTGTATTTGAACACGCATATGTTTTTTTTATTCTGGCATATTTTCACACGCTTCGGCACAACAACCACCGCAATAGCAGGCAACTCCCAAATTGCAAACACTACCGCGCACCACGACCGCTCGACGGCAACTTCAGTTTAATACTGAATTTATTTCTACACGGGAGGGAGCAGAGCACAATATTCTGATACTGTTTCCGATTCTGCCATCGAGCACTAAGCGTATTTATTCATGCTTTACATTAGTCACATAAGTAATTCTTAATAGTCTGATCCATGTAGTGCAGTGTCTACATCTGTACATACATCTGTACAGCTGTAAGTTTGTACATTTGTACATCTCTATATTGTATTGTATTTCAAGTAACTTAAGAAAATGAAAAAATTCCCTTTTATATTTAATTTTTTAATTAAAAAGAAAATTATTTTTATTGAAGATACTCTCCGTAATAAAAAGACGCCCATAATTCTTATTTTAAGATTATTTTTTAAAATTTATTGTATCTAAAACCTATCAGTTAGTAAGACTTCTCTTACTAATTTTAATTAATAGACCTTTATATATAAATAATAATAATATATAATAACACATATAATATATAATAAAATTCAACATTTATTTTAGAAAATTATAAAATAATTTCTTTCCTTAAACTTCGACAATCTCTTCGGATTTAATATTTATAGTAACATAAATATAGACTTAGAAGTATAGATTCTCCAGCTTTTTAGGGAAGCACTTTTTTGATAGTTTCGTATTTAATATTGATTATAACATAAATATAGACTTACAAACACTTTGAAGATCTGCTATAGCTCAGGTATTATTAAACGAGAAAGAAACAATTACGTACTTCCTCTGTGATGGTCGAGTTTCGGTAACCAGAAGGAACAGCTTTTTAAGAAAGTACTTTTTTGATAGTTTCGAATTCAATATTGATAATAACATAAATATAGATTTACAATATAGATCTTCAAAATTTTTAGTGGAATATTTTTTAGATAGTTTTTTGAAGTTCTCTTGTGTACATAAGAGATCTTCATAGATCATAAGAAAAGATCTGTTGGACTATATCAACTCAACAGAATGACTCTAGTCTTATATTTTCTTATAACGTGAAATAATCGGTATTTATTTATGACTCACGAGTAGGTATAACAAAATATTACAACTAAAAGACATTAAAGTATAAGACTACAAAATAAAAACTAAGCAAAAAATTGATATTATTATTGTAAATTAAAAATAAAGCCGAACTTGGAACAAATAAAAATGCAAATAAAATCCTAAACGAAATCTTAAACTTATTTGAACAATCACAATAATGCACACATTGAGAACGCCGGAAACACATTGAAGAAAGTTGCTCCTAAAAAGAATTTTATTTGATAGTACTAGATCATTCAAGGATATAGGTAAAATCAGCTTGGCGAACCGTTTACATATACATAGGTATAAGACATGAATGAATACATCTATATTATTACTAATATTGCTACGTTATTAATCATAACTTATGGCAAATGAAATAAGAACTCGCGTTACGGTATGTTCACTCAGGGAATCCTTAACTCTAAATTTTTTGTTGAACTGAAAATCAGTTATTGATATACTATATATATTTTAATAACTCATATTTATCAGATATCAATGAAAATTGGTATCCTGAATAATAATGAATATTATTCAGAATAATATTGAATAAAAACTTTGTAATACTAAATATTGATATAAGATTTTTCCTTTCTTCTATTATGTTTGTTCCATGAAAGCATGTATTAGCATTCATATCTAATCATATCAGGTTACATATTATATTAATTCATTTATAATCATACATAATTATATATAATTAGGTAGATATTTTTTTCTGGTTAACTATTAAACTATTAAACTGGTTAACTATTAAACTTCAACTTAACTATTAAACTTTCAATTTGTATGGCCGCCAGTGGTGGTCAAAGCTCAAAGCCATCATTTCAAAGGACTGTTAAAGGACAACGATGCTAGTTTGAAGAAAACGATGATAAAGCATTGACATACGAAACATGAAGAAAATATTTCCATAAAACTTTTTAGTTTCAACTTTTAAATTTTGCAAAAATGTACAAATATTTTTAAAACAAAAAATTTATTTACACCACCATAACTTCTTAATCCATTGAAGTAAAATATATAATTCGGTATCAAATTAAAACATTTTTAATGAAATAAAAATATATTTAATGAAATAAAAATATATTTAATGAATTAAAAATATATTTAAAGAATTAAAAATATATTAAATGAATTAAAAATATATTCAATCAATTTTTGACTTTAGTTTTTTGTTTGTCACTCTGTATTTAGATAAATATACAAAAGACACATTTTAAAATTGTTTTGAATTATATTTAATAAACATAAATATTTTTAAATTGCATTTTTTTTATTAATTCATTCAGAAATACGTGTATTTACAAACACTTCGACGTACATATATTTATACTTAAAAGTTATATGCAATCTCTTATGTTGCACTTATCACATTTAGTCTACAAACAAGCGTCTGACATGAGTCATTAACATCTTTTATTAGTTTTTTATTCATAAATTTAATTTATTCATAATACTTTGCAGGGTTTAGCAATTATTTCGATAGCAGTGCGATTAAATGGCATTTAGATCAAGTTATTGTTAATTTAACTGAAAATACATAAATTTTTTATAAAAATGGCGTTTTAGAGTGGGATAGGCTTTTCATTATCGTATTTCCAATAATAAAGTAATCGATTTTATTCATTAAATCTCTTGAGATTTTGTTATTATCTCGTGCAAATATTGCGAATCTCGACTTTTGTTGAGATAAGACTTTGTAAAAATATAATATCTGTTCTGGCAGTTTATTTCAAATATGGTTGTAGTTGAAAATGCACAAAATGTTAATGTATAGAAAGCACAGTGATCATAATAAAGTAATAATCGAACAATAATAAAAAATAATAATAATTTTTTTGTGTATAAATAATTTTATAGAATCTTTTATTGAAGAAAATTTTCAAATTTTTTTTTACTAGTACCATGCCTGTTCTATTTGATTTATTATACATAATATATTTATATACGACTAAAATTTTTAATTATAAATAAAAAAAATACTGAAGATGATCTAGGAGGTAGATCGAAATATCTGTTAAATGAATATATACATCAGTTGACAACTATGATATATTTTATTTAATCTTAAGTTTGTTTTTATATAATATAAGATATTATATAAAAATATAATCTTTAAAAACACGACTTAAAGCCCGGCAAAATTTAAACACATAAGTATTGATGTCGAACCTAATATAAACATTTTATATATAATATTTTTATAGTAGTTTTTCGTTTGGTAATCAAAACATGTTATTTTTTTCAACAATAATTCATTAAACTGTAATGTTAAATGTATTTAAATAAAATAAATAAATTTTCATAAAATAAATAAATTTAAAAAAATAAAGTAAACTGCAGATTCAAAATCGGATCGAAACCGTGCAGATGCACAGGACGCATCGATAGTTTCGATTTTCGAAAATGATCACCTTTTTATGTATATTTATTTTTGAATAGTATGTAAGCATATTCATATTTATTTATATATTATATATTTACACATAGCTGTTTTCGGATTCAGCTCCCAGACATTGGGCTGGATTATTGTGTTACACACAAAGATTAATATATTAATGCTGCAGTTCTAGTATTTGATTGTTGTATATTGTTGTTTATGTAACTCGCGTTTATGAATTTCTATATATAAAAATTTAAATTAAATAAATTTATTTAATTATGTACCATATCCATACATATAACCAAATATTAAACACTTTTCAAATAGACTTCGTTAAATAATTAATTTCGGCAACTCTAGAAAATTAAATTCGTTCACAATAGTTTATTTTTACTCAAATCGCATTCTTCTCTCTTTGAAGCGAACTCAATAGTTGACAGTAGTATGATTTCAGTACCAATAAAATTCTTACGCATTCGTTGTAAGGAGAGTCGCCCAAAAAGTGTGAATTGCTAGAACGAATGAAACTTAGAAATAAAGTTCAAATGCAGGAAAATTGGTATTAAAATAGGAATATCCGCGAGTTCACGTTAATCTAATACTTCAGTGCATTATAATAAAAACTTGTAGCAATGAAAATAAATCTTGACTAAAAAGTAAATATATATAGCATATGTATACATAATATCTATGATAAAAAACCAACCAATTGGTCCGTCCTTTGCGTTAATGTCAATGAATTTTTATTTTTGGACAATTTTGAAAATTTTGTAAAGTAAGCTTAAGTATTGTATAAATTTAATTGTAATGTAACATTCGACTATCGCGGAATTAAACATGGAAAATGAACGTTTACGTATAACTTTGGACAATGCAGACAAAACTTACTTTGCCGGACAAACGATTAAAGGTGAAATTTGGCTAAATGTAGCTAAACGTTGCAAAATTCGTGGTAAGTGATTTTAGAAGATTCTCGGAATTTTTTTAAGTGGAGTATAAAATTAAAATCGGTTTTTAATAAGAATAACCGCAATTTGCGATGAAATGCTTCAAGTGTTGAATCATCAATAACTTTTTTGTTCAATTTTTTCTTTATGTTGTGTGAAGGAAACGACGTTGCTACTTTAAAATGTGCATTGTATGTTTATTTTAATTGAAACTCTTTAAATGCCAATTGTTGTTGGTCAGCATTCATAAACAAAACTTTTTCTCTAAATACTGTTGTGAATCTGATATTTGTTGTTGTTTGTGAGTGCATAACGTGAAGTGCTTTTTTCCTTTTTTGTAATTAAATTTTTCTTTTTGTTTTGATTTTGAACCATAAAAAATTTGTTGGTTCACAGTAGTCTTTTTTAAAATACCCTACAATGAAAGAGAAGAGTATATTGAATTAATACATACAATTTTACATACCATATAGGAGGGTTTTTAAAAACTATATCTACAACAATTATATTCGAAAAATTAAAAATAAATTTATAAATGAAATTTGAAACACTTTTTCCCACATTTTTTCAATAATATAATATAATATTTTGTTTCTTATGTACTGACAGTAATGTAAAATTGAACCTTTTTCAGTTAGTGCATCTGGGCACTTTTTCTCTTTGATAGCAGGAGGTTTCTGCAGAGTCCCACCTATCCCACTGACTAATTTGTGTACTCCTCATAAGCTTCGTGATTATTCAATGACTGATCTAAGATCTGCGTACCGCCACGTGCGTTAAGTGATTACTCTGGGTTAGATAGTGCTAAGTGATGTACTGAGAGTAATGTTACAATTTGATAGGTAAAAAAAATCAGCTTTATTAAAATGTTTTTATAGAAGTACACAATACCAAATTTATATGAAACAGAAATTGACTTAAGTTATGCTCAATTGACACATTTCTTTAATTCAAACACGTTAAACTCCTACCCACACCTTCGCAAATAATCGGGGGTGTTTAATGTGGCACCTAATCGGTTAACAATTACTTGATCACTATTTCAGTGCTGAAATACGTTTAGATTGTTGTTGAAATTGAAATTAATAAATGAAATATAAAGATTTTTGGGTAATGTGGAATCTGAATTAAAAAAAAAGTTTTCAAATATCTAGTATTAACAGTCGTTGAATGCATTTTTTTTTGTATTTCATCAAGGCAAAATATATGTATGTATTTTAATAGCATTTTAATACTTTTTGTTATATAAAACAAGAAATTATATTAAACTCATATTGCATGAAAAATAGTCTTTAATTAAAACTATATAAAAACATTTTTTTACTAAATGTCAAAAATTTTTATATGAAGTGTTCTGTCATTTTTCCGTGAGAAATGACTGAGTTTTAGGCTTACTGTCGAAGTTAAAATTTGAAATATTCTTTAAATTAAATATATAAATTTGTCTACAAAAATAATTGAATATATAGTATTCTTGTTGGCTTTGCTAAAAGTTATAATATCAATAAGCAACATATCAGCAAATAGTAATTGCAAAATAACCACTTAAATTTTGTATTGTTTTTCAATAAAAAATGAAAGAAAAATATAAAATATCTCGTATACATGCTTTAATATAATGCCATTGTTAAGATTAGTTAAGTTTTTTAAACGACTTTTAAACAATGTAGCTTAAAGTTAAGAATATTTTCTAATAAACATTCAGTGCACCGATTTTTTTTTATACCAAATAGAACCCATTTAAAAGCTCGGCCTGAACGCTACTTTAAATACTATAACCAAAGAAGAGTGTGTATATATCGTGAAATAAAATGCACGTGGAGTTTGGGTTTTAAGAATTCAAAAAATAATAATAAACATAAAAAATAAAGTATTGTCTATATTATAGGATTCTTGAGATATTAGACTTAGACTTTCCGCAAAATGAACGAAAATGATCGATAATTGGGTCTTTCATTAACGCTTTGTTTTTGTGATGCGTTATTTATGATTAAAATTGCATTTTATACAATCTGAGTGTCAAATATTTAAATATGTATCTTTAACGGATTGATAAAAAATGATCATCTAAAAGTTTAATAACGGTTTGATTATTCTCCTAAATTTTTTTTAACTCCAGTTAAAAAACCTGTGGTATTAAAAAATTTTTAGTTAAACTTCTAATAGGAGATTTAAAAAAATTTGAGTGTGTATATATGACTTATATTCTATGTAAAATAACTCTGAATAACGTTCACACTAATTCATATTTTATTTTTGTATGATTTAATTTTGTTTAATTAAATCATTATAAAAATCCAAATAATTTATTTTTTTTCAATTTCATAGTTTTATATTGGCACTTATAGGATTTCTTTATTTCACGCTGTTCGTTAAGAAAAGGAAAAAGGATGGATAGGTTAATTGTAGGAAGCCTTACCAGTAAAGAAATGAAAAAATTAATTATCTTTTTATTGAAAGTAAATTTATTTTCGTATACATATAGAAAAGAAAATGTATTTATTATTATAAAATATCACGCGTTGAATTAAGAATCAGACATTATTCAGTATTGTGCTCAATGTTATTGTTTTTTAATTTTTTCCTGTTAGTCTTGAAATATATTTTAATTCATATTTTTATAATGCATGATGTGTCTTAGTAAAAATTATGCATGAATTGGTTCTTTAGGAAGCATAATTCAATATTTTATTTACTTGGTTTTCTATTTATGCACAATGTGCCACAGCAGTTTTAGTTTTGTCTTGTAAAAATTTTTCAACTTGCGGCCATATTTCTGCTGTGGTATTACCTTTAAAATTAGTAACTAAATTATGTTGTTTATAAAATTCCAAGACAGGTTTCATCATTTCTTCATAAACTTGCAAACGTTTAGCAACAACTTCGGGTTGATCATCGTCCCTTTGTACTAACTTTTCACCTGTAAGATCATCTTTGCCGGGAACTTTTGGTTCGTTAAAACCTATATTATACACGCGTCCAGATGGCAAGTGTATCCAACGTCCTCTAACACGATCTATAATAACTTCATGTGGTACATCTAAATTCAGCACAGCATCTATGTTATCAATAGTATTAAGTTTTCGAGCCTGAACCACAGTACGTGGGAAACCATCTAACATGTACGATTTATTGCCCACTTCGTTTATGCGACCCGAAACTAGTTTAATAACCAGATCATCAGGCACCAATATACCTTGGTCTATGTAAGTTTTAGCTTTTTTACCCAATTCAGTGCCATTCAATTCATTCAAACGTAAAATATCACCAGGTGATATGTGTACAAAGCCAAATTTGTCAACAATACGTTTTGATATAGTACCTTTGCCTGAGGCTGGTGCACCCAATATAACAGCACGAAATATTTTACTTAACATAATTAGGTCGATATTGCAGGCAGTAGTGTGATTTTGCAAAGCAAACAATGTTTTCTGACTGTCGCTCAAAGTCCACTGGGAAGACGAAGTAGTTCAGCAATTTAGAATGAAAATTGATATGCAATATATTTTTATATTGTTTTGTGTTAATACGACACTTTTAATTGATTTAAATTAATTTCAATTTGCTTAATAAATAAAACTGATTTGGTGCTTCGGTTTTGTATGTCAGCTTCTTATATAAACATAATTGCACTTATTCACAATTTATTGCATTTGTTTCCTGACCTGACCATATGCAAACAGTCGAGTAGGTAAACTTAGACTCAAGTATTGCAAATTATTTTTTTTTATCGCTTTTACTTTCGTTTGAGTTTTCCGCCACGTTATTTAAATGGAATGTAGTTGAATACTATCTGTTGTTATATTTTATACAGTAAATGTTTGTTGTTTCAATTAGCTAAGCCAAGTGTCGAGAACCTGATCTATCTTTCCCTCGAAAGATACGAACAGCAACTGCTGCATGATATGGCAGTGTGGTTGTATGGGTTCGCAGTGTTTGCTGTTCTACGTCTCTCTTATATGTCTAAGATTTCGCTCTCTTACGCCACTATTGTGAATGCACAGTTGGCAGCTGTTTTGTGTGTTTACTTTGATTTTTTGTTGTTTTCCTACACGTAAATAGAAATGCTTGGCATATATTGCATACGTTTAAGTTTGTATGCATCTGCGTAGGAGAAATGTTTGCAAATTTTAGTTGTGCCAAATGCAAAAAGGAAGTAAATGCATTACTTGTAGAAGTTGAGTTAATTTTTTTATGATTAATTTTAGAAAAAAGGCCGTTGAAAAATCCTTGACTTGCAGCTCTGTGAAGTCCACTAAGTTTTATTTCCGTCATGGATGATGCATGTTACATATGGGTCAACAGGCTGTTATGGTGTACCAAGGCAGTGATGCTAAGTTAATCTAAATGCACTATTTTACTGGTAGTATCATAATTGTAGCTTTCGCATGCTTAATCTGGAAAAGGTGTAGTGACTATCGATATGTTTTTGAAGCGATAAAGAAGACGTCCGACACTATATACATGGTCTACATATATTTTTGATAAAAATTATATGATTTCTTTAATTCACGTTGTCTCTTTTAGTCAGCCAATTTTTGGCTTTATCGAATGATATTTTGCTCATGATTTTGTATGAAACCAGATAGATAACATCGATAAATATATGAAATTAATTAACTCGCCTATAAAAAATATATGCCGAACTATTATAAGTTTGATTGTTTTATAAATAAAGTTATGTGTGTAAAATGTATCACAAACCAAATCCAACTTAAGATCTTTTTGTTAAGATCATATGTGCAGTTACATGTACAATATATATCTGTTATAATATATATATTATAATATATATATATTGTAATAATTTACTATAATCATTAAAATTATTTTATAAATGAACGATTTTCCTTTGTAAATAACTTATTCTAATTTAAATTCAGAAGACAATTATGCTTTTTGATGATCACAGTTAGTGGACGACGTAACTAAGATAATCGATGAGTACGACTAATATATAGAATAATTAGAATCTAAGATATACGCTGATTATACTTTGTGGGTAGAATGAACGAAGCTCCTCGATGAGTACGCTTATTGCATAAAGTAACTAGAAATGAAGATACCCAGTAAAATAAGCACGCTTAATTGACAGGGTAAGTGGGCTACTCTATAAAAACGATTAGTGGCTAGATTAAAATGATCAGAAAACGATTAAAAATGACTAAAATTAAAAAAAAAAGTTAACTATTAAGTACCAATTAAAAAAAATCCGTTCTCATTGAATTAAATTAGCTCATTAGATGGATTTATAATGGCTTTTAATTTGTTTATGAAATTTCTTTTTTCGGATAGACTTTTTGTTGACCCCACTTATATCTCGAATAACATTAAAAATTTATCATCACATTAATCACAGGGAATAGTGTTGTCCGCTTAAGTTGTGTTTGAAAAATTATATTATAATTAGAAGAGATCTTATGAGAGAACATCTATTGAACTATATGTATTCAACAGTCGGCAATAATTCTTTAATTTTTCATACACATATTTAGGTATATTAATTTAAAGAGATAAGCTAATAATCTTTAATATAAACAAATAAGCAAAGGACTCTTTAAGCAAGGCTCTTTTTCTTAGATATTACGAAAAAATGTACAAAAATTATTTAAATTACTTACTGTGAATATTCATTGGTATTTATATGAGACAATTTATATTGACTATTCTGGAGTAATCAAAATTATTTACTGACCACACTGACGAAGTGGTCATTTTAATAGGAGATTGTAAATGTGACTATGAGGTAATTTAACGTAACCACAGTTCATTCTATTTTAATTATTACTTTGTGTTTCCAGTTAGCATTTTTTATTAAAGATACTAGTTAATACATAACAGATACCATTTAATCTAGTTTGTAATAATCTACGTGCACCGCATGAGAAATAATCATTTAGCAAACTTCAAGCTTCATAGTCTTAGACATAGCTAGACATAAAACGATTCGTAACTATTACGCTTAAAGAAAATTCAATAATTGGACTTTCTGCACAGATTCATATCAGGTCTGATATATCGTTATTTAGGAAATAAAATTGTCTATATTTTAAGCTAGCTAATATTTGATTAAAAGATTCCTTTAACGCTTTATTGTTTATTGCAGTAATAACATTTTAATTCCGACTCCGTATTCACCATAAGAAAAAAAGGGATTTCTTGCTGTTTTTATAACTCAGTTTATTAAAAAATATGTGTGTGAAATGTATATATTTTTTTCATGATTTAGTTATTGTTTAAAATCAAAACCAGAAACTGAGGATTTAATAAATTATTTTTTTTTAAACTAAAATTTTGCTTAAACTATAAGTTATGTGTCCAATATGTCCTAAGTTTCGTTATGTTTCTGCCAAAACACTAATTAGTCTATTAGTCCTTTCCACATACTAACTTCATCATAAATTTTTCAACTTTTTGCCACATAGTTTCATCACATTTCGGTTCAAAATGTGTCAGTAATTTCTGTTTTGCATAGAAATTCAAAACAGGATTCATTATCTTATCATAAATTTGTAAACGTTTTTTTAACACTTCCGGTTTATCATCGTCGCGTTGTACTAAATCCTCACCAGTCACATCATCTTTTCCAGGCACTTTGGGTTCACTAAAACCAATATTATAGACGCGACCAGAAGGTAAGTGTATCCAACGATTTTTGGCTCGTCTTATAATTTCTTCATGTGGAACTATCAAGTTTAGTACAGCGTCAACACAAATCCATTCTTTCAGTGTTTCGGCTTGTTTTAATGTTCGTGGGTAACCATCCAGTATGATGGATTTTTGCTTCAATTCTAATAACCGTTTTTTAAGTATATCAGAAACAACTTTATCGGGTACTAATTTTCCTTCATCTATAAATTTTTTAGCTTCTTTGCCCAATTTAGTGTTGCTACGTATATTCTGTCGGAGTATGTCTCCGGGTGATATGTGCACGAAGTCAAAAGTTTTGATAATAAGTTTTGAAATAGTACCCTTTCCAGCTGCTGGGGCTCCCGTCAGTATTATGCGAAAACTGTTGGACATATTGGACAAACTTAAATTAGTTTATAATTTTTCATTTGACTTTTTTTAACAAAAGCATGTTTTGTCAATTCGAAAATTTTTTTATAAATTCTCTTGTTAATAGTGTCAATTAAACGCTTCCATTGCATAAGTAGTTTCTGAATTTGAACAATGGAATTTTCCCGCTTCCTCCTTATCTACCCATATTGATTGCCTTTTTCTTTCTTACCTTAATATTTCTCAGTGATCTTAAGTTGCTTTTTCTCTGGTTCAAGAGCATTCAGCTTGTTCATCATGTTGATCAGTTACGTTATCGCCTAATCTTTCACCACAAATCTTTTTACAAAATTTTGCAATTATAAAATCTTCTATTTTTGCTTTAACATTCATATCTGCTACATTAAAACTTGTAAGCGAAAAATGATTTTCCAAGTATTTCATTACTGGCTTGGAACGTATCTCATAGGACTCCAAACGTTTTTTTACAACTTCAGGGCGATCTTTTGGTAATTGTACTATTTTTAGTCCAGTTATATTATCCACTCCACGTTCTCTAGGTAAATTGTAATCCATACTATATGCGCGGCCTGATGGCAGTTGTACCCAGCGTTTTTTCGACCGCTCTACAATTTTTTCTGGAGGTAATATCAAATTTATGGCTGCATCTACACATGCCATGTCTTGTAATTTCTTCGCTTGTTTAATGGTACGTGGATAACTGTCCAAGACCCAGGATTTTCCTTCAAACTTTTCTATACAATCCAACATCGTGTCAAAAATCAAATCATCAGGTACCGTACGACCCTCGTACATGTACTTTTTGGTTTTTGTACCGAAAATTGTGCGCATGCTTATGTGGTAAGCGACAACTTCTCTTGGACACAAGTACAGAAAATCAAATTTATTTGCTATAAATTTTGCTATGGTCGTCTTGCCACATGCAGGAGCACCAACGACAATGGCATTAAATATTGCAGACATATTGGCAGACACAAAACTAGACGGCAAACAAACGGACAAACAATTTAGACCAAAACCAGAAGCTGGAAAACTACAAATTCTATCAAATACAAAAATCTAAAACATTTTGTTATAATTTAATTTTGACTTTATTCAATGAAATGTCATTTTGTTTACATTAATGGCTACATGGTAGAAAACTTGAGTAAATTGATTATTTTTAAATATTAAAAAAAAGTAAACTTAAAAAATTTCAATCGCAACATGCGATTTATTGATGCATAATACAATAGATACCATAATACTAATGTTATTAATTACGTTTCTTCAATATATCCTTATCACGGTTTATAATCTCCTGTTTGCGTTCTTTTTGAGCTTTGTTAATTATTTCATCTATTTCCTCAATTGATGGACCATCATCCTGGTTGTCGTTATATTTATCATGTTCCCAACGCTTAGATATTGGTGAGGGACTAGATAGTTTATGTGGTACC